AGAAAAAAAGAAAAGAAAAAATAAAAAAACAATAATACAGAATTTCAAAACAAGATAATGAGAGATTAGCAATGGTTAACATATAATGGTTAATATATCTTCAAATTAGTTGCTCAGATTATAAGATATATGCATGTATAATTGATCTATAATTAATACTATAAGCACAAACCTTTTGTAGACTGGTAAAACCATTGTGTAAATCAGTGTAGAGATTCCTCAAAAAACTAGGATTAAGAGGTCTCACTTGACCCAGCTATCTCCCCTCTGGGCATTTTCCCAGAAAAATTAAAAATATCATACCACAGTGATATATGTGCACCCACGTTTATAGCAGCACAGTTTGTCATAGCTAAATTTTGGAAACAACCCAAATGCCTATCAATTGAGGAATGAATAAAAAGATGTATTTTTATACAATGGAGTATTACTCAGGTATAAAAAAAATAAAGGTGAGGCTTTTATAGGTAAATGGATGCAACTAAAGACCATACTTATAAGTGAAATAAAACAAACTCACATGTGTAAACATCATATTGTCACCCTAGTGTAAAAAACTGAAAAGGTAAATAAGACCCAAAATCTACAATAGATATTGTGAAAGGGAAAGAAATTGCTCAAAAAGAAAGAACAACTGGAATGGGTGAAAGGAGAAAAGAAAGGAGGGGAAAAAAATATATATATATATAAAATAGATAAGATAGTTACACTACTGACTTCTTTTAATTCATTCAGGCTGTTCTTAAACTCACCATGTAGCCCAGGTTGGTCTTTAGCTTGCAGTGATCTTGTTTCAACCTCACAAGTGCTGGAATAATAGGTGTGCACCACCACACACAGCATCTATTTCTTAAAAACAAAAAATGACAGTAGCGCAGACATGGTTCCTATTCCAAACTGCTTACTATCTTATACAGAAAGTACGCTATCTCAAAGAGTTCACTGAGATAAAATTAGAAAAGTATCAACACCACACAATATAAATGGAGAAAGTACAAACCAGCATTAGGAGAAATGTGAAAAAAGAAAATTAATTTCAAGGGGAACAATCAGAGAATGCTGAGAAGGGAGCTTCTGATCTGTACTCTGCAGTACAAGGGTGATCTGGAAACAGGGACACGGAAGAAAGATAGTGAAAGATGAAAAAATACGCCAAGCAAGTTACCGGACATCAGCTCTATCCAGAACACAGGATAGAGGTCAGCTCTCTTCAGAATCCAGCAAAGAAAACATACAAATGGAAAAAAAATCAGTCCTCTTTTCTGTTCCTTACCAAAAATGTCTAGTTCTCCATTAAGGCACTGGGTGGAATTGTTCCTCTAAGAGCCCTTACTGTTGAACACAGCCACCACCACTTGCTTTGACCCCCAGAGATCTGAATGGAAGCCAGATTTATTACATTCCATTTGCCACACCTCAGCAATACCAACACATTTGGAGATTCCTTCAGCCTGGTTCTTTATTTGGTCTATTCACGATGGATCTAAGCCGCTGCTGTTTTAAGGTATGGAATTTAAGGGCCATTTGTCACAACAATGTAGTAGGCAGAGTGCTAAGATGGTCCCCATCTTTCCCGTCACCTGGTATCCACGTCTTCGTGCAACCCTCTTTGTGAGTGTGACGACTTCCTTCTAACCAATAGAAGGCAGCTGGACGTCTAACCTATAGACTGATGTGAGATAAGACTTCACAGAGTGAAGACATTCTCCTGCTGGCCTCAAAGAAGTGGATTCCATCCTTTGAGAAGTCCTGTGAGAAAGCGACATGGCAAGGAACTGTCTGAGTCTTTAGTAGCTAAAAGTGACCACTCAGTAACAGCCAAAGGAAAGAGAGGCTCTTAACTATCTACAGCTGCAAGACACTGAATTTTGTCAAGAACCATCATGGTATCTTGGAAGATTATCCCAAACTCCAAAAAGCAAGGCATTCCATCCCACCTTCAGATTGTAGTGTGAGACCCTGATCAAAGGACTCCCTTAAACTATGCTCAGATTCTGGGCCCAAAGAAATGTTGAGATAATAAATTTATATTGCTTTAAATTTAACAATAAGTTAAGCTTCTGGTCATTTGTTATAAAGCAATAGAAAACTAAGGGCCATAACATAAACTAGCTTCTTCAGATTTTTATCAAAGAAGTGAAAATAAAGGTTGGAAAAATATCCCAGTCTCATTTCAGAAAGTCTTAAATGCTGAGCAAGGGAGTCAGAACTTTTCTGTGGGCAGTGGGAACCTTCGAAGGTTTCTAAGAAGAGAGACAGTTTGGTTGGAACAGTACATTCAGAAGCAGTAATTTGCAGGCACAGGGGATGAAAGGATAAATTTGAAAAAGAGATGATCATTTAATATATGTATATATATATATATATATCACATAAATATAGAACATTAGCTTCTTTTATCAAATTTTTCACATGCAAAAAGCAACCTGTTCAAAGGAAATAAGCTGACATTCCTTTCTATATCAAATATGATGCCTTTTCTACCTGTAATTCTGCTTTAGCGTGATTAAAATACCTTGTCTGCCCCTGGAGTTAAAATGACAAATGTACCCAGTTGTACGCCTCCATGCTGTCACCAGGGGGCTGTTCCATTTGCTAATAGGCACTGCTTTTCGCCAGGAATTTCATTTTCAACTCTGAGTAAATTGCCTTCCATCTACAACAAAATGTGAAGCATGTACAAAGCGGTTTATGTTTTATTTACCACTTGTTCTGGCAGGCAAAGAAGTGTAGGGGAGCTTACACTTAGTTTCTTAAGGCATGTGGGCTGCTATATGAACACACACTACCATCTTTTATTAGCCATGCTATAATGCTCATGGAGAAAGAGTTATTTGGCTTGGATGAATCCCAATATCCACGCTAACATGAGAATTTTTCTTTTGCTGGCGAAATTCTCTTTTCACAGAAGTATAACCCAGGTGACCTTGAGTTTTCTAAACTTTAGAGGTGCCAGCCCTTTAAAACAGATAAGTTTAAAAAGTGCCCTGAATTCCTGGAAGTGAGAGTACATACGTGTAACCCCAACACTAGGGAGACTGACGCAAGAGAATTACAAATTTGAGGTCAGCCTGGGCTACATTGTCAATTCAAAGTCAGCCTGAACTACAAAGCAGGACTTTTTGTCAAACAAACAAACAAAGAAACAAACAACTAACTCCTAAAATGCCCCAACTGATAGACAAATAATATGAACAAAAGGAAGATTAAGGAAATGAATAAAACCATCAAGAATAGGCTGAGGGACTACTGCAAAATATAAAAAAAAAAAGAAAAAGGGAGAAAGAAGAGGAGGAAGGTGAAGAGGAGAACGAGGATCAAAGGAGGAGGAGGAGAAAGTAAGAAGGAGAAGAACTATTTGGAAATAAGTAGTAGTTCTGCAAAGTTAGGCCACGGGGATGTAAATTTAATGCAAAATACTATGATGAAAAAAAGCCAAGGTAGTCCCATAGGATACTATATTTGCAATGAGATCATCTGTGTTAATTACCATTCTTCCAAGTTACCATAGAGTACTAGACAAGTAACTACTTTAGGATCATGTGTTTAATTTTGAAAATGCAGAAAATAACACTAACAACACCTTCGTTGCTTTGGTGCTGGTGCTGCTGCTGCTGTTGACTGTGGTGCTGGTGTGTATGTGTATTCGGCTGAGAACTGGGTTCAAAAATACTGGTAAAGATATTTTGGAAACAGTGAATCTCAAGTAAATGCAATAGTGGAGGATAAAGAAGTAGAAGAGAAAAAGGGAAAATGGAAGAGGAGAAAGTGCCATCTTATACTTCTCTTCATCATATCCCCCCCATCACCTTACATAGTAGAAACTGCACAGACTCTACCCAGGTCCCCTTACCTGTGCAGCCACCTCCCCAGCTTCAGAAAACGGGGCCCATACTAGTTCACAGCCATGTGCTTCTTGGAGCATGGCTGTACTGATAGACTCTGCCTCAATCGGAAGGCATTTTCTCCTCCTGCGGGAAGCCCATGTCCCCTGAATAATGGGGGAAGACCAAAGGGTGACCTTACTGAGATATACAGCAAGATCTACACTGTCCTCCAACCCAAGAGCATGCTCCTTTATCATCTCCCATAGCCTTTCTGGAGCACCACCCCCCTTTTCTTATCATACTTCTCTCACTCATTTACAGGTTCCCACTCTGAGTGCATCTTCTACAAACAAGACATGCATGGATGGCCATCCCAGGGTCTATGTTCAGGGAACTTCTAAGAAAAATTCTAAATACACAGAGAAGATATTCAGAAATTAGTGATGAAAGGAGTAGGAAGCAAAAATGTTCCTTATAGGAGCCAGGCAAGTTAGAGTCTAAAATGAACAGAACAAAAATGTACAAACATATTTTTAAAAAGTTATAGATATGAGAAACCTAAGAAATAAAATATTAATGTAACTGTCAAACACTGGGGGGAAGACAATGAGAAAAGAGGGAAAAACAATGGAACAAATAAATCTTCAATTCTTATGTAATGGGGTGAAAAACATTGCCTAACATTGATGAATCAAGAAATAGTTGCAGGCGTATTCTTTAGATATGTGGGGTTGGGTCAAAAAGGAGGAAAAGTAAAGATAGTTAAGACAGGTTTCCTATGAGAAGTACAATATGACAAAGGCAAGCAAGAGATAATAGCTTTTCAAAAGGAGTTTCTGTATATGATTTGATTTCTGTACCTGTACCCCATGTACACAGTACACACACACACACACACACACACACACACACACCAGCTATTTCTTCTAGAATTGACTGCAATGTATATCTGTTGCTATGCAACAATAGTTTGTTTTTAAACTGTTGCACTTAAAAATCTTAAACTGTCTCATTTAATCATTAGATAACGTGTTAGCTACTTTTACTGTTCTTACTTTAAAAACAGGTAAACTTAGGCTAATAGAGATTAATTCCCAAAATCATGAAGCTTTTGATCTCACTAGATTCTATCCAACGATTATGGCAATGGTTGTGTTCATTTCTTGAGATAGAATAATGAGGAGAATGAGATTTTTAAAAAATTCTCATGCACCCAAATGTCAGCACATAAATACCTTCCTAGGTTTGAATTCATGCAGGAAGAATGAGCATTCTAGGGGATGAATTTAGTGCCTTGCTGCTTTGTATAAGTCATCTAATTCTTGGCTTTTCAGCTGCGTTCTGCAGCCTCTATACGTTTGCATATAGACTACTGAGAAGTTTTATGTGAGCATCAAACAGCGCTCTCAGGAATGAGTTCATCATCTGTAGATAATACTGGTATACATGATGCAAACAGTTCAGTTAGTACCTGTGTGCATATTTTAAAAATGGAAATGGTGGGGCTAATTAAATCCTACTAAAAGGTTCATTTTTTGTTTAGGGAAAACTTCAAGTACTCTCTATACTCGCGAAATAAATCAATCTTGTCTTTCGCTTTGTACCTTCATTTTCATTTTTCTCTAGCTGTGATGCCATAAAAACCATCCAGCTCAACGCCAGAAATTGAAAATGGATGTTGGAGCGTGATAATGGCTAGGAATAAGAAGAGACTATCCTGAAATCACAGGCATTTCTTACAAACAAATCAAAAGTTTAAAAAAGGATAGTTTACATTCTGTGAAGCCCCACGAATGGCTTGGGGAATGTATTTTTCACTTTGCTTAGAGAAAAGTGCATAACTGATCAAGTTCTTTTGGGGAATCGGGCCACAGGTCTTCTTCCCCACTCGCGGAAGCACAGCTGCAACTGTGAGTTCCCATGGCCTTGACCAGCCTCCTACAGCAAGACTAACACAACCCAACTGGACACTCGGCCCATGCTCACTGGCCCTTGGTATTCAGGCTCTATCTTTAGGCCTTACTCCATCTGCCCTGTTTGGCGGGCTTAAGGCAGCCACACTTGCTTTTCCTTGGTCCCCAAGCTGTCTGTTTGCTTTGTAATTGCTTTCCTTCCACGGGGAAAGCTCTTTTCTAAGTTCTTTATATATTACGGTCACATCTTGAAAGTCACCTCCTCGCAGAATCTACTCAGGGCATCCCTCTGAGAGAGCCAGGCTCTTTCTACACACATATACTATCATTCTTCTGACTTTCTCCCTCTAATCTTTGCAAAAGATTGTGAATGTTCATTCTTTGTTTGTTCATGTCAGAGGATTTTGTTTGTTCATTTGGTTCAAGCAATGCATTATTGGGTCACAAAATGCTAAAGGGTAGGAAATGTAGGACCCGTCTGTGACTTTAGCTTTCATAGTTAAAGGAATATGTGTCTTGCAGGGTATCATTTCTAATTTGGAATGTTGGGGTACGATGACCAAAACTATCTACCTGTGTACA